TACATTTTTGTTTTCCATATTTTGATTTCCAATTTGGATAAATTTCAAACTCTTAATGTTGCCAAAGCATCTTTGGAAATAACTCTTTAGCTATTAATAAATGAATAATTAAGTACTGAACTACAAAAAATCACTTATTTTGTTAATCTGGAGCTGACCTTTTTACATTATATTTCTGAAATATATTCTGAAAAATATATTTTCAGAAGCATCTCCTTCTTTGGTAGGGATGGGACGGGGTGGGTAATGGTATATGAAGTTGGTCTTTCAGTAGTCGTGGGAAGGTTGTAAAATACAGCAGAGGCAGCCTGAGGCAAGTGAAGAGTTCTGTTATCTAAAGCTCTGTTACATTGGACAAGTTTGTTTCTTTATTTTTCTTATTTGTATTTGAAGCATAATAAATGTGTTCCCTCCATTTATCATAAGTATTAGAGTAGATGAGACAATGAATTGGAAAGTTCTTTTTGTACAGTGACATTCTATACAGCTGCTACCTTATTGCCGAGTCAGCAAATTGCAGTGCCACATGGTGACTTGGCTTTTCCCTGGCGCACTAGCCCACGCACTACTGATGCTCATACCGAGTCACTGCCAGTGTTATCTTGCCATTCTCCACAGCTCTGCTATTTCAGATATCTGATAGAGCAGTCTTGAAGGGCTTCAATGATTTCTGAATAAAAATTCCAGGATGCTTGGGCACAAGGTCTGAGAGCCATTGTTTCTTGTATACCCAGAATTTCCTGCTAGTGGAGGAAGAGTTCCTGCTGGCCTGTAATAGTTCTCAGCAGTTTCTCTCACTGCTCAAAAGAGAATAGAGTAAACCTTTTAATTTTTGCTAAGATAGTAAGCAGGGGTTCTTTGTTGTGTAAGAGGGTGAAAGGATTGGTCTCTGTCCACATCCAGTCAGTTTAAAATTGAGGCCTCAAGACTCTCTTTCAGCTATAGCATCTGTAAGACCTCTTTATCTTTCAACCCTGCGTTTAATATTTTTGTAGAATTACCTTACTTTTGTGCCTCTTCCTGTAGGCGAATCGTAAGTTGGGATAAACATTTACAGGTTCAGCAGTGGCAGACAGTGCTCAGTCCCTCAGTGGTGTTCAACTCTTTGTGGCCCCGTGGACTATATCCTGCCATGCTCCTCTGTCCATGGAATTTTCCAGACAAGAGTACTGAAGTATGTTGCCATTTCCTTCTCTAGGGGAGTCTTCTCAACCCAGGAATCGAACCTGTATCTCTTATGTCTCCTGTATTGGCAGGTGGATTCTTTACAACTGGGCCACCTGGGCAGCCTGAAATATGATTAAAGAGTGGGAAATCATGATTTTTGGTTATACCCAGATGGTTTTTGTTTTCAGCTAAAATTGTGGAGTAGAGTAGCTATTGTTAATATCTACTAATTTATCTCAACTAAAAAATGATGATGCTTTGTTTTGTGAATTATACCTGTGAGATCTCACAAGAAACTTGTTCAGTGGAATTTGAATTATTAATCCATTGTTCTTTTAATATGTGTGTGTGTGTGTGTGTGTGAAAGTTGCTCAGTCATGTCCGACTCTTTGCAATCCCATGAACCATACAGTTCATGGTGTGTGTGTGTGTGTGTATTATATATATATGTATATATATATATATTTGGTGATATGGTTTTTGACTTGAATGATCTAGAGAAAAGTCAAACTGTTTGAAATCACTTTTTTATTTTCTTTGGGACAATTGGATTACAAGAAAATATATGCAACACTTTGGATTTTAAGTACGAGTACAAAAATACTCGTAGGATAGGTTTATTTTATAAATTAAGAAGAAAACTTATAGTAAGGTTTCTGCTTAGAAGTTGTGGTTAAGATGTGTTGTTGTTCAGTCACTAAGTTGTAGCCGGCCCTTTGCGACCCTATAGACTGCAGCATGCTAGACTTCCCTGTCCTACACTGCCTCCCAGAGTTTGCTCAAATTCATGTCCATTGAATCAGTGTTGCTGTCTAACTATCTCGTCCTCTACCACCTTCTCCTTTTGCCTTCCATCTTTTCCATCATCAGGGTCTTTTCCAGTGAGTTGGCTCTTATATCAGGTGGCCAAAGTATTGGAGTTTCAGCTTCAGCATCAGTCCTTCAATAAATATTCAGGACTGATTTCCTTTAGGATTGACTGGTTTGATCTTGCTGTCCAGGGGACTCTCAAAAATCTTTTCCAGCACTCCAATTCAAAAGCATCAATTCTTCAGCACTGAGCCTTCTTTATGGTCCAACTTTTCACATCCATACATGACTACTGGAAAAACCATAGCTTTGACTAGACAGACCTTTGTCAGCAAAGTGATATCTTTGCCTTTTAATACCTGTCTTGGTTTGTCATAGCTTTTCTTTCAAGGAGCAAGTGTCTTTTAATTTCATGGCTATAGTCACCATCCGCAGTGATGTTGGAGCCTAAGAAAATAAAGTCTGTCACTGTTTCCATTTTTTCCCCATCTATTTGCCATGAAGTGATGGGACCAGATGCCATGATCTTAGTTTTTTGAATGTTGAGTTTTAAGCCAGTTTTCTCACTCTCATCTTTCACCCTCATCAATAGATTCTTCAGTTCCTCTTCACTTTCTGCCATTAGAATTGTATCATTTGCATATCTGAGATTATTGATATTTCTCCTGGCAACCTTGATTACATCTTGTGATTCATCCAGCCCAGGATTTTGCATGACATTCTCTGTATATAAGTTAAAAAAGCAGGGTGACAATATGTAGCCTTGTTGTACTCCTTTCCCAGTTTTCAACTAGTCCCTTGTTCCGTGTCTGGTTCTAACTGTTGTTTCTTGACCTACATATAGGTTGCTTAACATGATCAAAAATGAGTTATATGGAATATTTTGGGGGAGTGAGGCATGATCATTTAGAACTCTGATTAGATTTAATTAAGTTTTTAGTGTATATGTTTAAGATCTATTTTACTAGATAACTAGAGGTGTAAGGAAACTTATGTATATTGTCGGCTTGTGCTGAAGTTTATGTACATTTAAAACATATGTTAAACTGTTGGAAATAAAGTGATGGTATTGACAGTATTTGATTTATTCTTTCTACAGGTAGTATTGGATTTGTTCTAACTAAATCACATCTGTTCGGGTGTTTCACCTTAAAACTAAAGACATATGTGTTTCAGATAGCTGGCTGTGATACAGTATAGACTGCCTATAATCCACCTAGCTGTTGTATGTAGGAATCATTCATTGTTTTTGTATCTGTCATGAAGGCTGCCTTACACGCAAGAGAGTTAATCAGTTACAGATACTGCTTTTTGGCTTTTGTATATATTAACTCTGTGAGCTTAAATGGCTATAAATATTGTTTACAGTATGCCACTAACATTTGGATATTCATTTTTCTGGCAGTCTTAGATTGAGTAGGGGAAAGTCAGATTATTATATCTGATGTTATCTGAATCGTATCAGATTTAGATCTGATTATATATATATTCAGATTATATCTTATATATCTGATATTATATATATTCAGATTTATCTTAATTAGATCTGATCTAAAATCTGATTGGAAAATCAGATTATTATATATATATATTTTTTTTAATGTGAGAGACGAAAACATATTTCATCATCTTGTTTTGGTATTTAGGTTTAAATATTGCATTATTTTTCTTTTATGAGGTTAATATGAATTCAACTAGCATCTTAAAATTGCTATAATGGAAGAGTAGGAGAGAGAAAAAGAAATGTGCGGTTTTGTCAGTGAGAACTGGTTTTAGATTCGTCACTCCAAATCTTTGTTGTGATGAGACAAAAACCGAGGAGCATACACTCGCGTACCTCTCCTGACAGATGTCAGCAAAGAGAGAAGAAGCACAAGTCATAACTGCTGCTTTGCAAAGATTGTAGTCCCTAGAATCTGTGTGTGTTCTGAAATCATTAAAAACAATTTAAAGCTTTTTAAAATCAAGTGCTTGGTAGTATAGAAGGTTTGGAATAGTTTAAGAATTCAGAGAGTAAGGTGACTGTTTAGTCAAGAAGGAGGTGGCTCTTGAACTTGGAAAGAATCTTTGGATTGTTACTGGCGGGAAACGAAGGCAGAAGAGATAGGGAGATGGCCATGAGTGGACAGAGACCCCAGTGCTGGTGAGCTAGTTATGAATGAGGCTCAGTTCAGAATGGGTTTGATTTTTCATATTAGGTTTGTGTCTCTTACCTGCAGATTAACATTCCCCTGCTTCTTTTCCCCATCTGACTTTTCTTGGAAATGTATCACTATTTTCTTAAGAAGAAATAAGACGTGGAGAAGCAAAAACTTAAAGCTTTACCTTCCTAAAGGGAGAGTGGTCTGAATAGAGACAGAATTAGATGTTTTCAATTGCACATGTCTTATTTTCAAGTACAAGAAGAAAGCCTGAGGAAAGAATTACGGCCTTTAGAGTTGGACAGATAAGGATTCTTTGGTGGGTCCATCATTTGCCTTTTGACCGGACAAATTTACCATTTTTCTTATTATGTTTATATAGGAACAGTGCTATCTTTTATGGGATTGTTTTTATTAAATGAAGTCATGTATATAAGCTAAGCATGGTGCCTGCTCTATACAGTGAATAAATGGTGGTTAAACTAATTACTTATAATTGAAACAAATAATTGAAATAATTCTGTGATGATAGATATGATAAACTAAGATGAGCATTTAAAAATAATATATAGTACAGAATATTTGGGCTTCCCAGGTGGCGCTAGTGGTAAAGAACCCACCTGCCAATGCAGGAGACATGAGATGTGGGTTCGATCCCTGGGTTGAGAAGATTCCCTGGAGAAGGGCACGGCAACCCACTCCAGTATTCTCACCTGGAGAACCCCGTGGGCAGAGGAGCCTGGTGGGCCACAGTCCATGGGTCACAGAGAGTCAGGCACAACTGAAGGGACTTAAAATGCATGTGGTTTACTTGGTATGCTTTGGCGGTTTTCTCGGTTGAATTCTTTGCATTTCTCATTTTCTATCCATTTTTTCTTTTAGGAGACAAAGATGGCAGCAAGGTGACCACAGTGGTGGCAACTCCTGGGCAGGGTCCAGACAGGCCGCAAGAAGTCAGCTATACAGACACTAAAGTGATTGGAAATGGGTCATTTGGTGTGGTGTATCAAGCCAAACTTTGTGATTCAGGAGAACTGGTTGCCATCAAGAAAGTATTGCAGGACAAGAGATTTAAGGTAAGACCTTCAGTAGTTCATGTGTTTTTTGTTGCTGTCAATACATGTAAATAATTCCTTTTTCAAGTGTTGCTTTTGTTTCAGATTTCATTTATTGAACAAGTTTTGTTCAGCTCAACTACTGTAGTGACTTTTCCATTGTGTATTATGTTGAGATAAAATTTACTGAAGATTGCAGTATTTTTTTGAACTGTAGCTATGAGTGATATATGTATTTAAAATGTTGTGAAAGATAGATTAAAATTTATTAATTCCTTATTTTAAAATGTGACCTCTCTCTGCCTTGGGTCTCATTGGTGTAGGAGACCAGAGAAACATTGCTTGTAGCATATGTTTGTTTGATACAGTTGACTGTGCTTCCTTTCTTGAAAAATTTCTTTCTAGTCTATGATACAACACTGTTGTTTTTTTCCCCCTATAACTGACATTTCTTTCCTGCTATATATTCTTATGTCTCCCTTCCATCTGCCCTACAAAACGATACTCCCCACAGTTCATTTTTTTTTCTTACAAGATCCCCTTAGAGTGTCCTGTGTATGGATGATCAGAGGTCATCTCTTCATTATGATACAGTGGAGAGTCAGGAGACCTGGGCTCATCGAGGCTCTGCCATTAACAAGCCATGCAGCTCTGTTCCCTTCCCTACTCTGCCCACCTCTGAAGCATTTTAATGAGAGTCTCCTGTGTTCTAGGAACTGTGCTTTAACATTAAAGGATAAAAAATTAAGAGGTTATCACTGCTCTGAAATAGCACACATTCTGCTGCCTGTATGCTACAGAATGTTTTGAACATTCTAAAGAGGTTTTAAAAAAACAATCTAAAGTTTCTGTCTTCAGTTTATTCTCTCCTGAACACTAGTCCCATGTTGCCAAATGCCCACTCAGTCTTGATGTCTGAAGGTACCGTTATTTTCAAATTGACAAATCTTCTTATCTAACTCTGACTTAACTGCCAGTCTTAAAGGAAATCCTTTCTATTGGTTCTCATTCCTTCTTGTTCTTTCCTTTTAATTCTTTTCTCATTCAGTGTCATCGATACTCTTCCGTTCTCTCATACCTCATATCCAATCATTGCCAAACTTGGTTAATTTCACACTGCCTGCCCTGTCCGCCCCTCTTTCCTTTTCTCATCACTACTGTTCTAGCCATTTGGCTTTTATCACTAGTAACTCTACATCTGATCTTCTCACTTAAAATCTTGCATTCCAACTTTAGATTAATCCCGTAGCTCATTCTGGTCATATTGTTTCTACTACACACACGTCTTCTATGGTCCCTCATAGTCTAGAAAATAAAGCCTGCCGTTTTAATTGTGCATTCAGAAGCTTCCATAGTCTTGCCTTCTTTCCAAATACTTAATTTTTACAATCCTTTGTATCACTATATTTGAGACATATTGGTTTTTATGGTCTCTCTGACTTTATTTCATAAGAACTGGATTTTTATTACATGTGTCTCCTGATATTCACACACTTAAATGTGTTTTCAAATTAATATCCTTCCCAGGTGGTGCTAGTGGTAAAGACCCCGCCTGCCAGTGCAGGAGACGTTAAGAGATGAGGGTTCAATCCCTGGATTGGGAAGATCCTCTGAAGGAGGGCATCGCAACCCACTCCAGTATTCTTGCCTAGAGAATTCCATGGGCAGAGGAGCCCGACAGGCTACAGGCCATAGGGTCGCAAAAAGTTGGAGACGATGGAAGCAAATTAGCATGCGTGTATGATAGCAAATATTTATCAAGTCCTTAAAATATGATCAGTAATCTATGAAGTTTTTACATGAGCAGCTTTATAGGAGATTTCCTCTTAGTATTGTGATATTGATATTGTTATTATTTAGATAAGGAAACCTACACACAAAGAGATTATAAATTAACTTGTCCAAAGTCATACAGTTAGCAAGTGGTTAGATGAGCAGGTATTTGAATCCAAGCAGTCTTACTTCAGAGTGCTTTATTACAGTCTATCATTGCTGTATCGAACCAGTACATTCTGTTCAGTAGGTACTTGGGTGAGTTCTTTTTCTTGCTTTTTAAAAAGTTTTAATCTTTTCCTTTATCGTAGTTAAGTTATTCATCTGAAATACAGTTTGGTTCATCTGTTTTTGCTTGTATCCCTTTGTAGAGCTGTATCTCCATTCTTTTTGACTTTTTGAAAAAATTATTTACATTTTCAGTCTGTGTAATGTGGTTCTAAAAGTCAGAGATAACAGATGTCGTTTCCTCTGTCTTGTTCTCCCTCATTCCCTCTGGATAGCCAATCTCTTTATGTCCTGGTTTACTTTTTCTGGGTTTCTTTTGCTCAAATGAACAGTCAGTGTGTAATCATCCCTTGTTATCCACCGGGGACTGGTTCCAGGACCCATAGTGGATGCCAAAATTTGCAGGTGCTCAAGTCCCATGTATAAAATGGCATGGTATTTCCATATAACTAAGTCTCCCATATACTTTATGATATAAGCTACTTTAAATAGCTTATAATACCTAGTACAGTGTTGATGGCTATGCGAATAGTTGTAAATACAATTTAAATGCTATGTAAATAGTTGCTGATGTGGCAATCTGAAGTTTTGATGTTTGCAACTTTCTGGAGCTTTTCTCCCCTGAGTATTTTTTAATCCCAGCTTGGTTGCATCCCTGGCTGTGGAACCCAGGGACACAGAGGGTAACTGTAATTTTCTTGATTTCTTTCTTACACAAAATATAATACAGAGAGTTATTCTTTATATTTTGCTTTTCCTGTTAACTATCATTCCTGAAAGTCATTGCATATCAGATCAGACATTTTTCTCATCTTTTTTAGAATTTTATGGTATTTCAGCATTGATTCCAATCACTCTTCTGTACATGGATATTGAACTACTTTTCAATATCTAGTAATGTCCCAGGGGGCTGTTATGAAAACGTTTGTGCATAAGTATTTTTTATTAAATGTGTATATTCATGGTAAACTAAGAGAACTAGGTAGGACTGCTGAATCAAAACAGAAACACATGAAGTTTTGTATGATGTTGCTAAATTCCTCTGCACAAGAGCTTGTATAGATTTGTATTCTTTCCAGTAATATGTGATGCCTATTTATTCACATTGATACATGAATTGGTTTACTTTTTCGATTTTTGTCAACCTGGTAGGTGAGAAATAATATATTTTTTTCATGTGTTCAGTGTCCATTTTTTTATCATATCTAGATTTTAGTTGTGATTGGAAAGCCTTTTCCTTATAAAGTCTTATAGAGAAAGCCTTTTCCTCAAGTTAAAGAGAAATTCATCTATATTTTCTTGCAGCTGTAAGATTTCCCTTTTTACATTTAGACCGCTGATCCATTTGAAGTTTATTCCTGTGTGTGGAGTTTATTTATAACTATGTATAGTATGATTTATTGATCTAATTTTATCTGTTCTAAAGCATTAATCTTTTGTCTTAATACAGTTTTTTAAATAGTCTATGTTCCAATGATTTGAGATGCTATTGTTATTATATTCTAAATTTCCACATGTAATTTGGTCTATTTCTGGACTTTATGTTCTGTTCTGCTGGGTCATTTGCATATGCGTAAGTCAGTACCACATTGTTCTAATTTCATTTTGTAATATGTTTCAGTGTCTGGTAGGGCTAGTCTGCTTTTGTAGCTTTTCTTTTTCATGTTATTCTAGCTATGTTTGGATGTATATTTTCCCCTATGAATTTTGGTATCATTTTGACTAACTCCTTGAGAAAGCTTGTTTATTTTTAATTGGAATTTCATCAACTTTATAGGTTAAGGAGTTAATCGCCTCTCCCATGATGTTGAATTACCTTATCCAGAAATAGTAGATAGCTTTCCATTTGTTCAGGTTTACTTTTGTAAACTTCCAGGAGTTTTACTTATATAGGTTTTGACATTTCTTGTTAAGCTTATTCTTAAATATTTTAATTGTTTTGTAGCTATTATATAATTCTGTTTTTATTTTTATTTTTTCTCCTAAAAGTGCTGAAAAGTGGCAGGCTGTCTTACATGAAGTTCAGTTCTTTCCAGTGTATCACCTTTTCTTTGTGAAACTTAAGTATTCTTTGTTCTCCTTGCTAAATGTTAGCTATTAAAAAAAATTTGATGTATTGACCAATTCATTTCCTTTGATTGTGATAAAATAGGCATTTTTCTGACAACTTAAAATTCTATTCACATTTGTAATTTTTACATCACTGCTACCAAGGATTAAATAATCATGTATTTTGCATTAAATAATGATATATTTTTTAGGAGAAGTTAGAATAGGGTCTTCTCCTTGCACTTTTTTCGTAAACCAACATGCTGAACCTACTGGTGTCAGTGAGAGGCAGTTTGTTTTGGTGAAAAAACAAGAAGAGAAAGAATGATCAGAGATAGGAAGAATACCAAGAGTAACTAATTATCCCTGTACATTAGTCTTAAAAACTATATATATATATTTTCAAGTGTTTCTGGTACAACAAGTTTCAGTGGTGTTTTACCTACAATTTTAATGCCTTTTTCCCTCTGGACCCATCATACTAAAATTAAACTAACCTCAATTGGCCAGTTTGGAAGTGCTCATGATAGAAAATGCTGTTGTGCTGCTAACAGTAAAGTCCAGCTAGGTACCTTATGTAGGATACCTTTGATATTAGAGCAGGAAGAAGATTAATCAATCCCAATACTGATCGTTGTTGAGGCTGGCTTTTCCAAGTTGAAAATCAGTAAGCTACATTTTAAATTAATTAGCGATCTTAGCTTCATTAACTATTAATTTCAGTTCTTCTTTGAACTAAGTCATAGGTTTCAGGTGTCCTGCTTGGTTTCACTTGTTCTGTCGCTAGGATGTGGGAGTAGAGAAGTGAAGTGTCACTCCTGTTCTGTTGTGATTGGAGAGTGATTTGAGCCCTGCTTTTAATATATTCTATTTTGGAGAGTGAGAAGAAATAAATGTCTGGGCTCAATCCTTAGGGCTTTGATTATTCTCTGTATGATATTTTGGAGACAACATAGGGGAAATAAGACCTT